ATGCCGTTGTTCGACTGAGCTTGCTCCTGGGGAATATTTCATATGGTAGCGTCATGCTTCCCACTGCGGTTGCCAAAACATGGAAGTGCCTGAGTGGTTCCTTCAACCGTTCTCACAAATGAGTTGTATTGTTGCGAAACAGACCGAATGTGGTGTTGTTCCAGGGGCGACACACACAAACTATTCTGCCAGTTTCAAGGAATGATCTCAGTTAGGTTTTATTGCTAACCTGCAGTAAATAGCGGCGCACATGATTTGGTTAACTCAGAACGAAGTAATCATTAGCAGATGGTCAGCTAATCAGCAATACCACCTGTTTTCGCCACATCCGTCAAACGCGGAACTTTCAGTGGGTATGCCGGACCCAGAGACGATCCGCAGTCCACACCTTCTTACCGCTCCTCTGGTGCCACTAGTCCTAATTCCATGCCAGCCGATTCTCCCTATAGTTTCGAAACGCAGACCCTACATTTCGCCATTGTTGAACTTGACTTACGGTACTAGTTTGGAATGCCGAGTTGTTCTAAGCAAACGGAAATGGCTGTGCAAGCTGTGAACCACCATGAAGAACAAGCAATTCAAACAAGGCAACCAAAACTGAAGCACGTAGTCACTGATCTGGAGCAGTCTCGACGTCGGGTATCCAAGTGCGCCATTGGAACGCGTAATTTGCCATAAGCAATGAGGCGGAAACACGAGTATTGCTGATTAGCTGACCATCTGCTAATGATTACTTTGTTCTGAGTTAACCAAATCATGTGCGCCGCTATTTACTGCAGGTTAGCAATAAAACCTAACTGAGATCATTCCTTGAAACTGGCAGAATAGTTTGTGTGTGTCGCCCCTGGAACAACACCACATTCGGTCTGTTTCGCAACAATACAAATCATTTGTGAGAACGGTTGAAGGAACCACTCAGGCACTTACATGTCTTGGCAACCGCAGTGGGAACCATGACGCAACGATATGAAATATTCCCCAGGAGCAAGCTCAGTCGAACAACGGCATAACACAGGTACTAGGGGAGTGAAACCTTGGTGAGGATGCCTATGTGTATTGCGTGCGCACTCATTCTGATTCGAATGGTAACATCCATCGAACGCCGATCTTCAAAACTGTGTTCAGTGAGCATGCGGCACCCCGAAACACATCGCAGTCAACACCCTCTCCACCCCCCCCTGGTGTCACTAGCCCAACTTCCATGCCAGCGGACAACGTATGTGTGAGCGACTACCTGTCCTTATTCCCAAGGGCCAATTCATTCGCACTCATTCACGTGGGTGCCTCACAGTATATAGACAACTCATCGATGAAATGGGTGGACACGCCGCACAATCATATTTCACGTAGAAATAGAAATGCCTAAAAGGTTACGTGCCAACCACCATGATCCCTCGTGACTGTTGGGCCCATATGGCACCTTGTGAGTTTTGCGAGTATACCCCCTAGCATGTGTGAAGCTTCATGCCCCATGCTGAGAGTGATGTTGCATTCATGATGCTACTCCATCACAGTTGGGCTAAACCAACAGACTCCTAAACTAGGTCTTTTTATGCTACATAAATTTCATTCCACATTATTTGTTTTGTTTTGCCTACCCGAATAATATTTTATTAACTTGCACATTTTGTTTACGCTAACTGTTGTTATCTCAGTTTAATTTATTGCGTTTTGTATCATTGTTGAGGGACTTTTGGTCAATTTGTGCTTATTGCAGATGCTTCGCTAACCAGCTTACTTCATATTCAAATTTAGCATAGAGTTATGTCGGCAGAGCGCCTGCTTTAACAGATTTGTTCTATTTTATAATGTCGATTCAAGTGATTGGCTGTTTTTTGAAATCACAGGTGAGGGTGCGCTTGATGTTCATGTTGACAAGGTGCCTACCTGCCTATTATCCCCTACCACGTCCAGGGTGGCTGCAGGAGACTGTTGGTCTTTGCTGAAAAGAACGGGGTTTACGGTCCTTGTGGCCGTGCTAGGCTCCAAGGTTGGTTCCTTGCATTCAGTGTTGAGCGGACTGCGGTCCAGGCACCGCCTTGTGTGCGCTTGATTCCTAACTACAGCGTGCTTGTGTTTGCCTGTGAAAGAATGTGGGCCGGCGCAGTTGATGAGACGTGGCTCCCATCCACATGCCTCCCGGTCTTATTCCTTCGGATTTACACTGGATATGGGGTGTGTGGATGGAGCTGTGTGTGGTGCAGCGCAAGCCACCCATGGTCCCCCTGTAGACGCAGGAATCCTGTGGCTGACCACAGTAACAGACAAATCCGAAACCGGATGCCTCCAGCCATGTCTGTAACTTCCGTGTAGCCAATCATGCCTGAATACGAATGTCGAGCGAATAGGCACCCAACAAATTACACGCGATCTGCGTCACACCCAAGCCTTCTCTGGTGACTCATGTCTTAAACTCCTCTGATATGCCATTGGTTGATTTGGGATTGGTCACTCAAGGAGGGGTGCACTTTGTTGCGTTCGCGACAGGTGGATGATAATTGGTTGCCTTAAGGACGATTCCGAAAAATATGTGGACGAAACCTATTTCCTTAAGGCTGAGCTTGAAAGCGTTATGGATGCAAGTAACTGAGAAAAGTTGAAGACCCGCGGTCAGTCAGGTTGGACGAATGCACAACTGTATCGTTATCCAATACTGGTTTTGTTGTTTTGCTTTCGGTGGAAATGCGTTCGTTCAAGGTTTCCATGCTCTTTACGGCTTACAGGATCCATAAGTTTGAGGTCATTATTCGTGTCCGCTTCTTTGCCGACTTCCGCATCCATATATCAGCAAGGAGTACCGATAATGGAAGTTTCAACGGTATGCCATTCATTTGTCCATGCATTTGTCTATACAAGTTGAAGTAGATCGCAAGGCAGTTTGTCATGTATCCGTCTTAGACTGCCGGTCGTCAGCGTTTTTATTGTTTTCTCGCATCCATCCGGTCGTTTGTGGGTTACTTTCCTCGCCATCTGTAAATTGGCAGAAGCAAAGAGTGTGGCCAAGTCGAAGGAAACATGACTACGGGCTGATCTACTGTCATGCGTCGGAGCTTCTCCAGACATTGCTGGAGAATATTTATAGGGTACTGTGATCGACTGGATAGCCGCTTGAGACGTCTTCACAGTTCGTTCACCAAGTTGTGCTCATGTCAAATCGTGGTAAGCTTTATACAGCCATGTGGGGGCATTTTCAGCAATTTAAACTGGCACTAGCTGGGTGTAGCCAGGAGTGACAAGGTTTGTCGAAGTAGTACACAATCATTAGGTACATCTGGAGGCTCGTAGAATTTTACTGTGGTCAACTCGCGGGACGTAACCTTGTGATTTTGTTCCGTCTCTCGAGTGACCAACGTTTTCTTCATTGTTCGTCAATTGCATCATTGGCTCGATGTTCATACGACGATACTTTATTGTGTCGCTCAGAGCCTAAATTCACTTTTTTAAAATGATGAATGATTAGTTCGCTTTTAGGGCATTTATTGCGTCCCACTTACTGAGATGGGATATTGTTCTGTTTGTTACGTGTTATGTACGGAACATTGTTTCTCAATTCTTTTTGTACAGTCTCATAAAGCTCATTATATTAGATTGCTCTTTTGAATCCTGCCAGCGACTCTGTAGTCGTTGCATCCTTTAGATCGTTGTCGAGTGCATTCATAAAGACCTTTTTCGCTATCAGAAGTGGTCTAGTGGTCGACTTTGGCCCAGTCGGTCGTGGGCGTTTTAGCGCTTGAAATAGGCCAATTCACCATCTTAGTGTGAAATGTCTCTTTCTTTCTTCTCTTATCTTCACCATTCCGTGTTTCATTGCCGAGCTTAGCTTTTCTGTCGCTTGTGTTTCCACAACTCTCAGACAATTGGTCCTCTGTTTGTTGATGACCAGCGCACAGATTCTACTACAGTTGTAGACATCCGTACTTATCATCTGCACCATGCATTTTCCGGTGTCGAGCAATACCTAATTCTCATGAATTGTTAATCGGCAGTTTGTAGCTTACACTCAGAGGGATATTATCGTTTCGTATTTTTTGGTTTTGATGCAATATTCACAGCGCAATTATCAAATCCAACGAACATTTGAAAACCCTACCCATACTACAAGTGCTCCCGCACTAAAAGACCTGTTGAGAGATTGCCCAGAGGGAATAACCCGGTTTACTTTTGTGTTCATAGTTCAGATAGAGATTTTTCTTAGTCCCGTCCGAAGCTACCTGGCCAAGTGCTAACTGATGTCAACCAGTAAGAACACTCGGATTACGTTTATAGAATTTCCATAGGTTAAGCGAGTTCGCCGAAGTAGTCGGATTACCCATACAATCTGGACAGTTTGAACTGCAAATGTCTATGTGCCACCCAAAGGTCATGGTCGCTGCTTCCTGATTCAGTGAGTTGAACAACCTGGAACTTCAAATCCAACTTTGAATTCCTTACCGCTGACCAAGCTTTGCTCACGACTCTTAGAGCCACAGCGATCAAGGCGTCAGCAATTAACCACTAGGTCCCGAGTTCCACCCCAGCGCAGGCTATCTCCATGGGTTATCATTGTTGAGAGAAGCAACACCGAACCACCTGCAACCTGGAACCCCCACGTGATGCAGCAAAGGTCACGTGTTGTTATAAGTGAAGTCAGCCCCATGTTGCCTCATGTATGAGGCAACTATTCAGTGCCGTTTAGATTTACGGCCTACTGAACCGAAAGACGGAATCAGTTTACAACAAAAGAAAGTGCTTCTGACCTTCACTTTACTATAGTCGCATTACTTGCAGTGATAGCACAAAAATGCCCAGAAGCACTGAAGTGAAGATTGGGACTTCAATGTTGTCTTTCATTTGTTCAGTAAGATAAAACTAAGTCGGAATTGGGTGGGCATCACTGACGCAGCACCTCGGTCGTTGCGCCGCCTATCCCAGGCGAGTGCTGTAGTGTTTTAACAAATATGAAAGCGGACACGCTGCAAAACACTCAACACTAGTCGATGTTGACATGCGCTTCCACTTACCACACACGAGTGAATTGTAATTTTGACTCTTCCACCAACCGATCGATAGAGCGGTTCGTATTTCCTTTGAAAAATATGGAGGGCAAACGCTCCCTTTCCGCCTTTCCATGTAGAGCTTGAAAACACATTCTGCAGAACACAATTGGAAAGTCCCAGTCGAACTTATGTCCAGTACCCGCTGAAAAAATAAAGCATAAAGCAATACATTGCTTAGTGAGGAGACCAAGTTTTCCTGCGCCATGGGAGAAAGAGACCAGATGGAACAAATTGAGAGACGTATAACTAAGACCTTGCAGGTGTTTCAGAATAAGGTTTACATTTCATTTACCATTTATGAAAGCCTGAAACCAAACGGCACAAACATCCCGACGCTTTATGGGTTATCGAAGATTCATAAGGCTGGCATTCGCTTTCACCCCATTTTGTCCATGGTTAACTCTCCCTAACATGTGCTCACACAGTGGCTTGTTGCAACACTTGAGCCGTCTAGACAGCAGATAACACATTACAGCTTTCGGGATAGTCTGTAATTCATTTAAAACATCAAACATTGCAACAGCAAAGACAAAGTAATGTCCTCACTCGAGGTGGTCTCGCTTTTCATCAACGTTACGCTGCTGGAGATGGTCGATTATATATGTGACTAGATAACAAATTTACAAATGGAGATGTGTGTCCCGGTGCGTGAGTTGAAGAGCCGCCTTTTGCGGTTTGCCCGAAACATACCGTTCTTATTTAATGGTAAGTACTAAGGGCAGAAGGATAGTGTTGCCATGGGATCACCACTCGGTCCATTGTTGTCTGGTATTTGCATTTTAAAATTAGTGAATACCAAGCTTAAAATGGATACAGAAATCTTTGAATGCTATCTCCGCTACATGAACGATCTTTTTGTTGTAGCTGATAAGAGCCCCAACATGGGCAAAGTTCTCATCCAATTTAAGCAGGCCCACGCAGCGATGCGGTTTACGTGTGAGAAGTAAACAAGTAATCGGTTACCATTTCTTGACGTGCTGCTAGTCCGAAGAACGGAAGGCTCCATTCAACGCTAAGTTTACCGAAACTATAGTGGAGTGGACAACATAATATGTTCTAAAGCTTTATTCTAATAAGATATAAGCTAAACTTGATACGCTGTCTTGCATCAACAGCATGTAAGATCTGTACTGAAGACACGCTGAATGATGACCTTATATTCATTCAGAATACACTGCATGAAAATAGATACCCTGAGTGATTCATCTCTAAGAACATGCAGGAGAAACCCAGCGCGCTACCGGTTTTAAAAGTCAACGAGAAACTGCTATTCAGAAGACTGTCATTCAAAGGGGACACGGTTGCTGAAGGTTTAGTTATTAGCCTGTTGTCTACATTTAGATCCACTTCCCAAGCCGCGACCCTGAAATGCACTTTCTCCTCAGAACCGCTAATTGGTACGCAGATCAAGGACACGCTGCCGACGCTGACCGCTTCAATGGTTATTTATCAATTCGAGTGCGCCTGTAGCGCAAAGTACGTCGGTCGAAGAGCGCCGCACCCGTCAAAGCGCGTCGTTGGGCATCACCCGCGTTGTTTACGTTAAGGTTGCACAGGGGCTATTAACAGCGCCATTTTGGCTCACTTTGTTGACACTGGCCATCAGATAGAAGTGAACCATGTCTTTTGGGTCATCTACAGGATTCCCCCCGTTGCAATCGAGAAGCTTACTCCTCCGTATGCTTACAACAGCCGAAGCAATCGGTATTCGGTTTCTTCAAACTCCGTTACGTTTTCAAGAGAACTTACTCCAGTCACTGCAGCTGTCTTGGCAGAAAAAGTGGAAGACGCGGAAGCACAATCGTTCCCTAGGCAAAATTGCCTGTCGCTTCACGAACCCAGAGGGCACGTGATATTTTCATTTAAATTAATCCGATCAGTTTGTACCCTCAATGCTGTATTCCTTATGTGATTGTATACGTTTGATGAATGACAGCAAAAAATGGTTTACTCTGGCCCCATGTTCCTGATACTGAAATGGGGGATTTTTAGGCTGTTGTACTAAACATTTTCGGTGGGAGTGAAAAGGTTAGGCAAACATTTGTTTCGTTCGGTTAGATACTATTAAAAATTAACCCGGGAGGCGCGAGATCATAGATGTCTACATATTTTTCACAATGTCGTGTAGCCCACTAGATGGGTTGCACTATCCGAGTAAAAGCAGCCATGATCTAAAGAAGTGGGCCATGCTGTTATGTGAGATACAAATTATATGTGAAAATAACTTCGTATTCTGCCTAAGTCGGAAGCTGGAGGTCTGTGGAAGGTGTAGCTAAGATAATGTATTAATCGATGGTAAAATCATTACCATTTTGATTTCAGTTGATAGATGAACGAAATTTTGTTCATCATTTTCAAGCCCCTTGGCGGAGGTGTACCATATGGGCAGTGTCCCTAGGTTGCGAATCACAGAATGCCTTATTATTCTCTCTTTTGCTTCGCAGGCGACATGAATACGCAGTCACGGACAATCAACGATAGTATCAGAACCTTGGAAGTTCTGGGTTAGTCACCCGGTTCCTCTTCAAATCCCACAAGAGCTTGTACGGCGCTGCTTCATAGCCAAGGTGACCGGCTATAACGTCACTGACCAATCACTTTTATAACCAGAGCTGAGTAGGTAACGGAAGGCGGACGGACAACATTGTTGACAACCGGTTTCTGTGTGGACTGCCAGCAAACACTGAGAAGGCGTGTGCGTCACATGACTATCAATGGCCCTGCACTTCGCGGTTGGTCAAAGATTCCTGACACCTTTTCTGACCTCTCTGCAGCGGTATTTGGGCAGTTTGGGTGCCCTGAATAGTTTACCGCTAGTCAAAAGTCGTGCTACTGGTTACCAACGGTTCGCGATATACGTTAATTGCCCCGCTACCTTGCAGGGCAGGTCTTTATGGCTCAGAACTCTGGATGGGGTCCCTTTAGTCGACCCCCTTCCTCAGTGTGGGCAACCGGGAAGCTGCCTGCCCACTCAACACGTAACAAGAACGTGAACCGAATTAACTGCCATCGTTTTCTTCGGCCGAGGTGCTGACGGTCTGCTCAGGTATATCCTGTTCACCGCACCCCCTGCTACCTTATGTCCCATGGTTGTTGAATTCATCCATTCTTGATTATGGCCCTATGATTTCGGGTATTCGATAACGCTCTGCCTTGATGGACAGTTGCCTGGCTGAGACCCGCTTGCAGGACTTCGGCACAAGTCTACGATTGACATCACCATCTACGTTCTCTCACGGTATGTTCACACTTCGCTTATCCGGAAACGCAACTGTTGAAGCCGCGGGCTTGACCGGTGTCGGAATTGCGTTAAGCGCGCGCGCTGAATATGCTCTACTTGATTGGATCCCAGTTAATAGCCGACTCTGTAGGATTCGACTAGTAAACTCTGCACGACTGTCCAGTCGCCAGGTTACCAAACGCTGCTTTTTGTCGTAGCGGCGTATGCTCCCACAGCTTGCAGTCCGGACTCAACTAAATATGAGTTCTACTATCAAATCTCCGACCTCCGTAACAAACGCCGCACGGAGATCATGGCGCTCGCTTGGGATTAAAACACACGGATTGTTGGACTCGGTGTTGATAAGCGCAACCTCTGTGGTCTGCATGGCTATGGTAATCGCAGGACGCATAACGGAGGACGTCTTTTACAGCTCAGTGCTGATCACTGTATTTTTCTTTCGCGCACAAACTTTCTGCGTTCCTGGCGCCGGCTCGTCACCTGGTGCTCTCCTTCACCTGGGCATCCGTGGACGCAGTTTGACCACAGCACCATCAGTTACCGTTGGCAAGGTTGTAGAACGGACTGCAAATCATTTTGGAGTACTTATCTCACCTCTGATCGCGCACTTGTGTGCGCTACAAGTACATTCCGCTTTGGTGGCCCCAAACAGCGTCGTCGGCAACGGCTCAAGGTAGCCAAACTTCTTGCTCCAAATATTCTCAGTGCCTTATAAAACTTCATATCTGAAGAGCCCTCCAATCCTAGATGTTAAAACGCATTGGACATATCCGGAATGCCATATACAAGTACGCCAGCATAATGTGCGGTTTCGCTAAGCGCACCATCAACCGGTGGATTTCCGCTCGATCGTTACAACTAATGGAAGACCGCCGGACAATTGCTGCTAGTGCAATGAGTATAGCTCATTACGCAGGGCTACCAACGCAGAGCTCCAATAGCTCTTAAGGAAAGATGGCGAAGCCCGGTGAACGAGTTTGTTTAAGTCAAGTCAGGTCAAAATAAGCTTTGGGAACCAAAATGGGTTCATTTTCAGCATTAACACCACCACTGCGGACACCAGGAGGATAATATTAAAATACATGCTTGAGGAGAAAGCGGGAAATGTGCACAACTGTTACTCCAACAACGGCTCACGTATCTTGTTAGTGCTTTTCGTTGGGTCAACCAGCAAACGTGAGATATTGCAAAACAGTGTTACGGTACGATGTTGTACGGGAGAATAAGATTCTGAATTTCGAATGAGTAGAAGAGAAAGAGAGCGTTTTGGAAAGATTATTGTGAAGTAGATGGAATCGATCAGTTGATAACTTGGAAGAAAAATCAATGCAGGCAGCAAGATTTCCAGAAATGGTCAAATCAAATACAGAAACTCTCGACAAGCCGATACCTCCATTAATACGAAATATAGATAGTACCAATAAGATGTAGTCTTTCGGAAGTAGTCCATGGAATATGACAGGAGAGTAGTATAATTAATGAGGAATAATGCAAGAGGTCAACAACCTGAATATTAAAGTACGAGGTACTGAAAGCAGCTTAAGTCTGAGGGCATAAAAAGAATGCTTTCTGAGTTTTTGAAAAGTTTTACAGATATGCGTAGACCACGAAAGGTTCTGGAACAAAATAACTTCCAAGATATTTGACTGTGGAAGAACTGGGTATTGGATTTTCATTCACCGTAAGGGTGGGGAGATAACTATGAGAGACTGTAACTTATCGCCAAAATATAAAACATCACATTATTGCGTTTATAAGCATTACGCGTAAGAGATCAGGATGCAGATCATTCCACCATCTTTCCCTCTCTGCGTTGAAGTGATTAGAAATGCTGGATAGTGGGAGCCATACATCCCAGCAAAACATTGTCAACAGCAGCAAGCCCACTGGCAGGACCTTTA